ATTTGTGCTCTGTAGGGGCGGATTACCTAATAACCAAAGCAAGAATGGGTTTACTGGTACCAATTTACTGATTATTTCACATGAGTCTCATCAAAAAAACGGAAAATGTGTAAGATTGTTCACTGCAGCTTTGTAAGCAAGCACAAACAAACCTATGCTTACCTTGCTTACTGCCTACTCTGTCCCAGGGACTGTAAACTTGAAATAAAGTTCTGATTCTGTAGGAAGGTACTGTGGCTTTAGGGGAGCGAGCGAGCGAGCGAAGCCGGCTAGACCTGGAAGCACAATCTTTTATATGAAACAATGTGAAAATTTCACAACCGATTAGTTAAAACACAAGTCAGCCATGTCTACCTTGCTGACTGAGTAATCTGACAATAGCCGTATTAGCACCTCCGGGTAGTGTTGTCTGGGAAATTGATGTCATTTTAAAGTTATTTGCTATATTCTTCCAGTCTCCATTTGGACATGGGCTCAAAAGATTACATCTGAGGCCCATGTGAATGGACTCCACCAAGGGTTTGGTCATATAAATCACCATTTAGATGGATTTGGGGCTAGCACATAATTCTAGTGCCAATCTAAGAACACTTCGTTCTTATGACATGACTCTGATTGTTCGCCCTTACGAAAATATCACTGATGATATGGGTGTTATAGAAGTGACTGAGAAACTATATGGTGCCCAGCTGTCAGAAAGAATAGCGTCTGGGGTCTTAAAGACTTGTCATCAAACAACGAGCCATCTTAACAAGGCATCAACTAAGTCCACATGAAGTAGCACACCAGCCTGTGTGATTCAAAGATTGTAAGTAGTAGAATCCAAATCCAAAGGAGGGAATGGTATCAGAGCTTAAATTGTGAATGCCTGGTTTACAGAAAGCTGTGTGTGACAGCCCAAAATTCATTTGTAGGTTTCACACATAGATTAAGCTTCAGAGGGGTAAATCCCCTTCTTTCAAGGAATGTGACTAGTCTTATTACCAGACAACAATGTAAAGTCGCTTGTGGCAGATATAGGTTAAAAAGGTAATATTGTTTGATTCCCCTTTTGACCTATTTCAAAGTCACTTCAGATTTTTAAAAAGTGAAGGGGAAATAAATGTGGAGTGGGTAAGGCAAATGGCAGAAATGACATCAAAGAGCGGAACAGAAAATTTCAAAAGGCAACGTGAGGAGATGAAGTAAAATCTCATGAAGTGTGCAAAGACCTAAAGTTGGAAAACCAAAAAGAAAGAGCACACTCTGCATATCTTACACTGAAAGAACTCAGGAAGAAATTCAAGCATCAAGTTTCAAAATGGAAAGATTCTATGGGTAAAATATTGAGCAATACAGGAAGCATCAAAGAAGATGGAAAGAAATCAGAGTCATTGTATCCAAAAGAACAGGTTGACATTCAACCAGTTCAAGAGGAAGCATATGATCAAGAACTGTGGTACTGAAGGAAGAAGTGCAGCTGCACTGGAAGCATGAGCCAAAATCAAGGCTCCAGGAACTGATGTCTTTTGTGCTCAAGTGGAACCTATACATGGTTTGAAAAGCAATTGTGAGAATGAATCAAGGGGTTACTGTACGGTTAAAATCATGAAAGGTGTGTGCCAGGGTTGTATCCTCATACCATACTTAT